GGAGGCGCTGGCCAGCCGACCCAGGGACGGGCAGCCGGGGTCGCGCCGCAACCTCGCCTGCAGCCCAGAGCGCCGGGCCCGCGTCTCAGTGTAGGCACATGGCTCCGCTCCGTGCGCTGCTGTCCTGCCTGCTGCCCCTACACTGTGCGCTCTGCGCGGCTGGGGGCAGCCGGACCCCAGGTGCGTGCTGGTCGGGCGCGCGGGGGCGTGTGGGGTCCGGGGTGCACGCGGGCCAGGGTGACCCAAGGGTGCTGGAGGAACCGGGCAGCGATCGAGCAGTTGGGAGGCGGTTGCACAGTGGGGCGGGACTCGCTTTCCTTTGAGTCTCCTGCTCTGTTCCAAGATTTCTCTCCTTTTCTGGCACAGGAGCTGATGAGTGAGACCCCAGGAAACGATCTGGAAAACGGACTCTCTTCTTAGGGAAAACCTCTCTCTGTCTCTCTGTCGCTGTCTCTCTCTTCTGCAGCGTTTTCAGCTCCAAGTTTTTGTGGGTTGCGGGCTCTGGGCTGAATGTGTGTGCATGTGTCCGACTGTCACCTACAGAATCCATGTGGCAGGTGGTTGCCCAGCGCCCTGGTGAACACAGGACACTCACACTCCTACACAGGAACACACCTGTCTCCCCCCTGCCCCAGCATCGTCTCCCCCTGCGCACAAACCCTTTCTTTCATACTCAGGCCAGACGCAGCCCACCCTCATCTTGTGTGAGCATGGGGAGGGTGTCTGTGGTCATTTCCAGGCAGGTTATCTGCTTGTCTGTGTCTCTGATCTTGTACCAAAGCAGGGTTTGCCTAGCAGAAGTCTTGGGGGACCTTCTGCTGTAATGGGTGATATGGGAGGAGTTAGCATTCTCCACCTTTAACTGCCTTGGGCATAAGGGATTTTCAAGGCACATCATTTTCTAGCTTTTATTAGTGCCATGAAGAGAGCTGGGAGACAAGAGATAGAGCCTTGTGGAAATGAAAATTCCTCCTAAACTCGTATCCATGAATCACTAGGCCTGGAAGCCAGGGAGCTGTCATTCCTGCCTAGCCTGGCTGGGCTCAGGGAATGCTGTGTGAGGATGGGGCTGCTGGCCTGCAGCCTGGTGCTTGGGGCCATGACCTCACACTTGATTCAGCCCAAGTGGGCAGGTCACCCGGTGTGTCTCCTTTTATTTTTGAAGATCTATATTTATCCGCTTTGGGTCTGGGCCAGAGGCCACTGTGCTGCTTTAAAAGGGTTTCTTTCTAAACTTGGAAAAATATAGAAGCTGCACTCTGTCTCTTCCCTCTCCAGCTCCTCCTTTCTCCTCGACGCGTGCCCCGGATCCCCTGGGTTTCTAGGTGTGTTTGTTTTGCCAGCTGTGTTCTGGGAGCTTGGTGAGGAGGCCCTACCCCAGGCCGGGCCAGTGACGGCAGCAGTGAAGGCGTCCGGGCAGATCGGGCCTTCCCTCTCTGCCCTGGGGGCTTTGGGGGAATTTCAGTGCTTTCCGACAGTGCTGGAGGTTGAAGGCTTGTTGCTAGAGTGACAGGACTCTGTTTGGCCTCATTTGGTTTTTTTTGCTACGTTAACAAGGACCTGGGGACGACAGGGAGTAGTTTATGCCCACAAAGTACTTGAACACCATTCACCCAAGTGCAGCAGTCCAGGGGCTCAGGAAGCGATGCATGAATGAGAAATAGATGAACTCGAGCGAGATGGTTCTTCCCAGGTGACACTCAGGTTGCAGCTCCCCCCACTGGCCCCTCGGGATTGTCCCCTTACCTCTGCACCAACGCTACTGAAGTGACTCTTTGTTTCCTTCCCACAGTGCTGTCCTTCTCCCGAAAGCTCAGTGACTATGGAGTGACAGTGCCCTGCAGCACAGATTTCCGGGGACGCTTCCTTTCCCATGTGGTGTCTGGGCCGGCAGCAGCCTCTGCGGGGAGCCAGGCAGCGGATAGGGCACCCGCATCTCCATCACACGCCAGTCACCTCCGGGTGGCCCGCAGCCCCCTGCACCCTGAGGGGGCCACCCCGCAGCCCAGCAGTGCAGCCCGCTCCTTCCTGTACTTCAATGTCACTGTTTTTGGGGAAGAATTGCACCTGCGCCTGCAGCCCAACCGGCGGCTGGTGGTGCCCGGAGCCTCGGTGGAGTGGCAGGAGGACTTTCGGGAGCTGTTCCGGCAGCCCTTGCGGCAGGAGTGTATCTACACTGGGAGTATCACCGGCATGCCAGGGGCGACTGTCGCCATCAGCAACTGTGATGGATTGGTAAGGGACAAGCCTTACATCAGGCTGCACTACCCCCCAAACCCCCACCCTGCCGCCCGTCTTCCCCAATCACTAGCGGCCTCAGCCAAGTCAGTGGTTTTCTCCTTGGCTTGTGGGGCCCAGTGTAGAGTCTGAGCCAAGTCAGGGGCTGTGCTGCCTTCTGGAGAGAGATCCTCACGCCCACCCCGGCCACCAGGCTCTGTCAGGGGGAAGCGACTGAGTTAGGAGAGAGCCTGTCTTGTGTATCCCACTCATCTGTCTTCCAGGACTGCATCTTACCTGAATCTCAAGCCCAGATAAAAGCAGGGGTGAGGAAGGCGGGCTGCACAGGGGTTGAGTCCTGGCTGTGCTTCTCACTCACTCTGAGGCTTTGGGTTACTACTGACTGGCCCTCTCTGGTCTTTCCCTGTGTATGAAGCAGGGTTTACTCACATGCCTCTGTCGACTGCTCAGGTCCCGCTGCCCAGCACACTTCAGGCGCTGAGGCATCGAGTGCTCCAGGGAGACTCGAGCTGACATGCTGTGCTGAGGCCCTGAGCTGCCCCAGAGGGCGGCGGCCGGCTCTGGGCTGGGCTTCCTGAGCACGAGCCCAGGGCTCCTCTTACTGCTTCTTTCCTCCCTTATCTCCGCTTGTTCTGGTCCCAAACTTAGCTTGCCCGTACCTGGCACCCTGCCTGGTCAGTTCCCTTCCTTAGTCCCTCAGGCACTTGGGGTACCTGGTAGTTGATCCCAAGTTGTGGACCAGAGAGTCGAGGGGGACATCCCTTCCTCACTCTCAACTCAGGCAGCGTCTGCTTCCCCTCGCCCGCCACCAGGTGCATCAGACCCTCGTCAGCACCCATGGGTGCTCTGCCTGTGGTCTTGACTTTGCAGCATCAGCTAGGAGCTGATGTGCCCAGGCTTCCTGCCCCGTCTGCCCGTCTGCTGTGAGGAGGGGTGAGGCGGGGAGAGGACTGGAGCAGGGCCTTTCCTCACTTATCACATCTCCTCAACAGGTGTCTTCCTGCTGAGTGTCACCACTGCCTTTATCTGGGCCTGTGTTTCTGGATCTTTCTTTTATTATTAACCTCCACTGAAGAAACTTTGTGGACATTTGTAATCATTTGCTCATGAAATGTTAACACCACAAATATGCTGGATATCTGTTCTATGCTGTGTATACCTGTGCTTTATAGAGAAAGAGTAGATGTCTTGCCTTCTGAGCAATGAACTTTTGGCCCATTGAGGCAAGAGGGCCCCACTGAGAGGCAATGTTTGGGGCATCAAAGGTGAACTGGCACTGCAGTCACCTGAGCTGCAGTCACCTGAGCTGCAAGACTGAAAACCAGGTTGTAAGGCCGGCTGGGGAAGGCTGGGATCCTGGCGGACTGGCTGACCTCAGCTGCCTGCTTGCCCTGGCTTAGCGGTTCTGTGCAGCGGGAGCCCTGGGTCAGCCTGCTGGCTGGGGCTGTACAGTGGCCACACACTTAGGTTGAAAATCTGAAGTAATGCATGCAAACACCCACAAAGCACTGTCCTTGCAGATGGAGAGAGGATGGAGAGAGGAAAGCTCTTGTACAATCCAGACTTGGCTGCATCACACGGTGAACCCCATAGCCAAGACCACATAGAATGTGAGCCATTCAGTGGCAGGGCTGGGCCTCCCTCTTCTTGACAGCCTCCATAAATGGACACTGGGAACCTGAACAAAGGCCTAGATGGCTGTTTGCCACCTGTAAGAAGGAACGGTGCCCCCTGGGAGCTTCCTTGTCACTGAGTCACTGCAGCAGCCCGTTAACCGACTGTTCTATGGGACAGGGACTAGGGCCACGTAGGTCCCGACCTGGCGCTCTCTAAAGCAGCTTGCGTGGCCATGCAGGGCAGGATACATGGTAGAAAGGTCACTCTGCTTGCTGGGAGTGGGGGCTTTGAAGTATGCCTGAGGGCAGGCTTTGCTGACGTGCTTCGAGGTGGCCTCTGAGCCGATGTTCTCATCAGTTGTAAGATCTGGGAGAGGCACCCCCTATCTCTGGGCTTTGCTGTTCTTATTTGTCCAGAGAAGGGCCGTAGCTGATGTCTCCTGGCAGGCAGCGTCATTCTGTGTAACGTCACAGAGGCCAGATCTGTTCTCAGAGGCTGACTATGGATAGGCTCCAGAGACCTACTCTGCAGCAGAATAGAGGCTCCAGGGAGTAGCTCACCTTGGTCCCTCTGTTTTTAGTGGGGGGCAGAAATGGACCCTGGGTTGGGCCCCCCCCTTGCTACCTAACCCTCAGGCCACTCCTGTGCCCTTGACTGTTTCCAGAGCCTGTTCTCGAAGGCCTCCCCATCTAGGCCTCTGTCAGGGAAGCCAGTCCAAAGCAGGACTCTCCTCTCTTCCAGCCAATTCCTGAAAACTGCCCTGTGTCCCCATGAGAGAAGGGCTGTTTCTCAGTGATCCAGCCGAGCTCCCATTTGGACCAAGAGACCACAGTGCAACTTTTCTGAGGAGTGCAGTGCTATGACTTTATGTGGTCTCTGGATCTCAATCACATCTTTTTTTTAACATTTCAGATGCCAGAATCATTCATTCAAAACATGATACACGGAGCACGGGTCTCAGGAAAGGCCCCAGTGAGATGGAAGAAAATGGAAGTGACTCAGACAGTAACAGCTGCACAAGCGAGTCCTTCCCGAGGCCCAGGCACAGCCGTTAACTTTCCTCATTGTGTAGATGAGCAAACTGAAGCACAGGGGAGCTATGAAGACAATACATGTAGCTTCTGTTAGTCCAGGACAGTAGACCTTACACGGCCTTTTTGCCCCTTTTATATGGGTGTGTCACATGGATTGTGGGTACACTGCTTTAGGGGTCTTTGAGGAACTTGATTGCTAAACAGGGGAGGCCCCTCGGGAAGTTTCATTGTTAACTTGTTGCTTTTCCAGAACACAGTGGAGATAGGTACTCCCTAAATTCTAATGATTGTTATCTTTGGTGTCAGAAAAGGCTGATACTTGAATTGGGCCTTGAAGGATGAGTGGAAGTTTGCTGGGACCAGAGGATGGGAAAGGAATTCCAAGCAGAAGGAAAAGTTTAGGCACCATACTAGATGTGCTGGGTAGGCGGCCTGGTTTGGACCCTCAGGGAAAGGCAGGGTAGGAGAGGGTGGACAGGATGGGGCTGGAGCGGCTTGCTGTCTGGGAAGTGTCTGGACTGTGTGACCATGAGCAAACTACCTTCTCTTTTGGGGCCTCTCTTACTTCATGGGTGCCTCCCTGAGGCTGGAACAGATGAGCTCAGATTCCCTTCCCAGTGTGGCATGATGGGGCAGGCCTTGCTGGAGAAGTCCGAAATGAGACACCTGTAAACCTATAGATAGATGCCTCTTCTGTCTTGGTCAGGTCAGGGGCCTGCTCTGTGCCAGGCCTGGGCTAGGCTGAAGACACAGAGGGAAGATCCCAGTCCTGAGTGGGAGGCTCCTGGCCGAGCATCCTTCCGGTGGTCAGCTGATCTTGAACAAGCCCCTCCCTCTGCTGTGTGGCCAGTCTCACAGCCCTTTGGCCTCTTACCTGCTCTGTGAGGAGTATGGCCTCTTAGCGGGCGGCTGATCCTCATGACTAACTGGAAAGCAGCCAGTGCTTGCTGCCCCTTTGCACTTCTAACCTCGTCACTCACCAACAGGTCCCTGGGATAGATGCTGGGAAAGTTCTATGCACTGTGAATGCCTGGAGGTGAAGGAAGGGACTTCACTTTCTATCTGCTCTTCTAGAGGGCCTGGTGTGTCACATTCTGGGGAGTCAGGCGGGATGCAGGAATGAGGAACCCAGGACCCCTGCCTTGGATGTTTATAAGGCTAGTGGGGACCCAGACATATAAGCAAACAGATACTCTCGAATGGTTCAGCAGCAGAAGGCAGGATGAATTTATTATGGCCGGGCACCTAGGGAGGCTCTCTGGAGGAGGTGGCCAGACTGTTCCATCATCATAAACGTGAAAGAAAATGCTAAGCTTCTGGCCAGCAGAGAGAACAGCTGATCTAATAACTTCAGGCTATTTGGGGGAAGGACACAGGGACTTGGAGAAGGCTCAGTCCTACCTGCGAAGTGTTTCCTCTGGAGGTGGAGGCAGCTGTCAGAGTCCCAGATTGGGGGAGCAATCCAAGGACCATTCTTCAGAGCTCAGCCTTAGGGAGCTTTGCTGGTCACTGCTACAGTCCCAAAGCTCAATGGTCCCCAACCTCTGAGGGCTGCAGGGAGGGCTTGTGTTATCTCAGGAGCCCCATTTGGGGGCCAGATGCAGAAGGACCCTCTGTTAGCGATTGTGTCTCTGAATTCCTGGGAAGACTATGAAGACTGGGGTGAGGGGCAGCTCTTTTTGGGTCCTGGGGGGGGTCTGTGGGGTGCAGGGTCGGGGTGAGCAGGGTGTGGTCCTTGCTTTTCTGTGGGGCTGCGCCCCTCCAGAACCAGCCTCCAGGAGGGCAGCCAGCATCTCTCGCTGTCATCTCGGCTGTCCTGAGACCTGGGCCTTGCTGGTCTTGCCCTGGGGTCATGGGAGTTTAGCTGTGCGGCCTGTCCCTCTTTGCCTTCAGCGTCCCTGTGAGTCATGGGACTGGCATGGAGGCAGCTGCATGTGTAAGATCTGTCACCATCTGGTTCCATTTTCCACCCTCTGCAGATGCATATTTAGTGGGTTACACCGAGTAGACCCCTGGCAGGCAGCGTGGGGGGGGGCAGGAAGGCTACACCCCAGCCCTGCCATCTCACTCCTGCCACTGTGGGCACACAATACAGAAGCTCTCTGAGCCTGAGTCCTGCCTTGGAAATGGGATTATGGGGGGGGGGGGGGGGGGGGGGTTGCTGGTTCAAGGGTCTGTAGGGAGTGATGAAATCTTATAAAATTGATTGCGGTGGTGGCTGCACAGTTGTGTGCTTATACTGAAAACCATTAAATTCTGAACTCTAAATGGGTGAATTGTATGGCACATGAATCCTATTTCAATGAGGTTGTTACATAAAGTAAGTGCCTGGCTTCGAGAAAGCCC